CCAAGGGCTGGTAGAGGGAGAAATGATGTCGGCGGCTAACATGTCATCCACAGCCAATTTGACATGGTCCTTTTCGGCGGGACTCAACCGAAACGGATTTTGGCGAATTGGCGCGCTGTCACCCGTGTCAATATGGTGACGCAGCAGATGAGTGCAACCCAAATCATATTTATTTCGACTAAAAACGTCGGAAAATTCCTGCAGTAGTGATCTAAGCTGTTGGCGCTCTGAATTTGACAGGTCCGTCGATCCCGCACAAAGCGCGTCGAGCCACCCGTCATCGCTGTCCGAATGTGGGTGCAGTCGGGTGGTGGTGCCGACATGATTCGCAACTGGTTCCTCGCAGGGCATCGGCGTCGCGTGCGCAAGCACCGTCCCTCGAGGAACCACAACAGGTTGCGATCCCACATTGAGGACCGCGATGAAAGGGTCCCCATCTCCCCTCACAACGGTCAGGGCCGGAATCAAATGCGGTCCACTAACCCCGGCCCTAGACGGTCCCAACAGGATCCCCTGGGCCCCGATACCCTCTGCGAAGGGCCGACGAAGTTTTAGAGGTACTAACATCTGAGCCCCCGGCGGCACACGAACGGTTTCGACGACGGACGCTGGTATAGTTACGAACGCCGTCCGAATCACCGAAGGGGAGGGTAAAAACGCCATGCGCCGTCCCGACGGGAGCTCAATACATCCCTGGTCTATTAAAATACGGATCGGCATTTTACCCAAGAAGTCCGTCCCCAGCAGGCACGGAACCGCCAGTGAGGAGGAAACAAAAATCGGGCCTGATAATTTGATATCCCCGATACAAATTTGCGCTCGAATTTGTCCAATAATACCCAGGGAGCCCCCATTCGCCGCATAGAATGGGACATTAACTGGTAGTAAGGGACGGCTTTGGACAGGCAAAATGTTGTAAATCAATTCGGAAATAATGGTCGCCGATGCCCCCGTGTCAACCAGGATGCGTACCTCAACCCCGTCAATAAGTCCCACGACGGCCGACGACCCTGACGATGCGGCCACAACGCGATGGGCCAACGCGGACCACTGCCCGGGCTCAATTCGAGTCCCCACAGTGGTACGCGCCGGCCCGTCGCGATGCGACGTCGTCCCCCCATTCGTTGCGATGCGAGAGTGTGCGACAGGTGTGTGTGTTGGCCAAACATGTGTGGTGTCGCGACTCGCCGGATCATGCTGATGAAGCTTGGGAGGAGGAGGAGGCCCGGCGTCCTGGCGAGGCGTCGTCCCACGCTGTTGGGGAGAGCGGCATCCCGAGGCGACATGGCCCCGGACGCCGCAGTTGAAGCAGCGCGGAAGCGGCGGCGGCGATGACGGACGGTCGAAGCGGCTCGACCCATCCCGGCCCGGCCGTGCTCCCGTCCCCTGCTGCCGACGGTGGTTGACGGCGAAGACCTCCTCCGCCGGGAGGGTGGCTGCCGCCACCGCACGCCCAGCCGCTGCCCTGCTGGCCTTCCGCCGCTGCGACAGCAAGTTGGCGTGGAGGAATCGCGCCGCTTGTAGAGAAGTCATCTCTGTATCCTCCTGTGCCACGACGGCGATGTCCAGGTCGTCTGCTAGCAGGAGGATTTTCTCAGTTACCATGGCGTCGACCCCGTCCTCGTCCATGCGAGGAAAGGCTGTCTTGGCCAACGCCAGGAGGCTTGTTCTGTAAGCCAGCGGCGACTCCTTCGCGCCCCGCTGGCGGTCGTAGAACTGCTGCCTACACTCCGCGGAAGGCCCGTAGACTCCGGCCAGCAGCTGCAGCGCCATCGGCAGCGTAGAGCGCTTCTCCTTCGGCGCCGATGTGAGGGCGGCGAGCGCGTCGCCGTCGAGGAGCGCCGGCAGCGCGCTGAGAGCTTCAGCGTCTGTCCATTTGGCCATTTCTTGGTGGGCGAGGAAGCGTCTTTGGAAGCCGCCCCAGTCGCCCTCTGCGCCCACGAATTCTTTAAGCGGAGGCAGCCTTTGGTGCAGCGCAGCGGTTGCCGTGGAGTCCCGTGGGCTGCTGTCTCCCCGACTCGGCTGTGTCTCGGCGCGAACGGCAGATGGTATCGCCTGTCGCAGCCTTGATGACGCGCCCTCCTCCGTCGTTGACGCGGCAGCCCCAGCGCGGCCGATGTCGGACCCCAGGTTGAGGTTGGCCACGCCCCTAGCGGTCGCCGCGTCGATGGCGGGAAATTCGAAGTTTGAATCTTCGGAAATGGCGGGAAGGCGCTCCGGACGGCGGCTCCCCTCGCCCTGCGGTGGACCACCAGCCCCCAGCCGTGTGATGTTTTCTAGCGTGGCGGCAGCGGCGTAGAGCAGTTCAGCCAGCCTCTCGTGAGCCAGCCTCAGGTCGTCTGTCCGCGGCTCCTCTTCATGCCGACGCTCCGGTAAGAACGCGTCCGGCCCCGGCTGCACGTTGTCTTGTTGAGCCATCTCGGGCTCGACAATTTCGGCGGCGTCTTCCATTTGCTGTACTTTGGCTCGAGCTGATTGGCGCGTGTCCATGTTCTTAGTTCTTCTGACGCCAGATGAAGTACTCTTGAAGACGCGTGGACACCGTAGTAAGGCACACCGTATTTATTACACAATGTCGTACAGCACTGGAGGGATGTATCGGCCCCCTCACCCGTATAACTGGGAATTCACCTCTAGCTAGCCTTCCTAGCCGAGTCCTCCACTAACGGGCTAGGGGAGGCTGTCTGGCCCGACACTGGTCAGTCGGGCTACGGTACCCGGAATCCCAGAGGACTAACTCTGGTTCCGGGACCACGCCACTGGCTCCAGCCTGTGCTGCCCTTACAAGGGCGGCGTCCCAGGGGGAGTCCAGGGCCTATCTGGCCGGTCTTCCGTCTTCCTTTTACTACTCTAAGACTCAACCCCGAGCTCTCTGGCTCATCCCTTTTTATACCCCCCTAGAGGATCGAAACCCCCCTCACGCCGTCCAGTGCGGACGTCGTTGCGGCCACCACCCCGTGTGCTCACGGAGTCCCCGCCCACTGTGTTTGTTATCCGTTAGCTCCCATGCAAACAGCCCTACACAAACAGCCCCTCTGTAACAGCCCTACACATAGAGACCCACAGACTCACACAGAGACCCATAGACACGCACAGAGACCCACAGAAACCTTGCACAGAGACCCACAGACTCGCACACATATCCACAGACACGCACAGAGACCCACATACTCGCATAGAAACCCACAGACATGCACAGAGACCCACAGAAACCTTGCACAGAGACCCACAGACTCGCACAGAGACCCACAGACACGCATAGAGACCCACAGACACACAAAGACCCACAGACACGCACAGAGACCCACAGACACGCACAGAAACCCACAGACACGCACAGAGACCCACAGACACGCACAGAGACCCACATACACCCACAGACCCGCACAGAGACCCACAGACACGCACAGCGACCCACAGACACCCACAGACCCGCACAGAAACCCACAGACACGCACAGAAACCCACAGACACGCACAGAGACCCACAGACTCGCACAGAGACCCACAGACACGCACAGAGACCCACAGACATGCAGAGACCCACAGACACGCAGAGACCCACAGACACGCACAGACACCCACAGAAACCTTGCACAGAGACCCACAGACACGCACAGAGACCCACAGACATGCACAGAGACCCACAGACACGCACAGAGACCCACAGACACGCACAGAGACGCACAGACACGCACAGAGACGCACAGAGACCCACAGACACGCACAGGGACCCACAGACACGCACACATATCCACAGACACGCACAGAGACCCACAGACACACACAGAGACCCACAGACACGCACAGAGACCCACAGACACGCACAGAGACCCACAGACACGCACAGAGACCCACAGACACGCACAGAGACCCACAGACTCACACAGAGACCCACAGACTCACACAGAGAGACCCACAGACTCACACACAGAGACCCACAGACTCACACAGAGACCCACAGACTCACACAGAGACCCACAGACTCACACAGAGACCCACAGACTCACACAGAGACCCACAGACATGCACATAAATTCACACGGGCTCAGAGACCCACAGACGCACATAGGGACCCACAGACATCTATCGGGACTCACAAAAGTGCAGAGACCGACAGACATACACAGAGACCCACGGACACGCTCAGAGACCCACACGGACCGAAGCTCCTCTTCTCAGATGGGGGTGGGTGGGAATCATGAATCTCCAAGAAACTACGAGAGAATTCCCCCCTCGAGTAATTTCTCCCCATTTCCAGCCCTACTCACGTGGTCACTTGAAATTGTGGTGAATATTGTGGTGAAAGAGACTCGTGGTGAGTGCAGAGGTCGCAAACGGGTTTTGATTCCTTACCCGTACCCGGCCGCACCAGGGTCTCAAACGGGTACCCGTACCCGGCCGGGTAGGGTCCGGGTACGGGTACCCGTACCCGATACCCGGCCGGCTATGGGTAGCCGGGTATCGGGTAGGGTATGGTTATCGGGTACCCGATTGCGACCTCTGGGATGAAGCCATGTTGCAGGCGCGGGTGGGTTGATTCTAGGAACTTGAATTGTGAGAAGAGACAAGACGTTGGGAAATGAGTGACAAACGGTTACTCACCAGTGACTCACGGCCTACCCGTACCCGGCCGCACCAGGGTCGTAAATGGGTACCCGTACCCGGCTGGGTACGGGTAGCCGGGTATCGGGTACCCGATTGCGACCTCTGGGTGAGTCTCATCATGGTGAATGACTGAATCTCCTGGTGAGTATGGTGTGTGATTGAGTATCGTATCATGGTTATTGAGTATGGTGGTGAGTGTGCTATGGTGTTTGAGCAACGTGGTATCATGGTGAGTGATTGAATGTCGTGGTGAGTATGGTGGTGATTGAGGGACGCGGTATCATGGTGCGTGATTGAATGTCATGGTAAGTATCGTGGTGTTTGACGGACGTGGTATCATGGTGAGTATCGTGGTGATTGAGTGACGCGGTATCACGGTGCGGTGCCCCGCAGGCCCCTGGCTCTGCGTCCTCACGGGGGCCTCGCGGGGGTTCGGAGCGGCCTTCGCAGAGCTGCTGAGTGCCGAGATCCTGGGCCCCGGCTCCCTCCTCCTCCTCTCGGCGCGCTCCCTGGAGCCCCTGCGCCTCCTGGCCCACCGCCTCCTCGCCCAGCGGCACGGGGGGCCCCCGCAGGAGCCAGGGGGGCAGGGGTGCGTGGGGGGCGAGCCCCGGGAGGAAAGGGGACCCCAAGAGGAGAAGGGATCCCTGTTGGTGAGCTGCCCTGGGGGCTGCCTGCGCCTGCTGTGCGTGGCCGCTGACCTGGAGGGCCCCGAGGGCCTCCAGGCGCTGGAGGCGGCTCTCAGGACCCAGGAGCCGGGTCGATACAGGCGGCTGCTGGTGCTGAACAACGCCGGTAGGGGACGCCCCACACACCGCCGCGTCACCACTGATCCGTGCTGGGTCTGGCCTGTTCCTGGGATGGGCATTCTCGCCCCTGCCATGGGAATGTTGAATTACCACCCCTGGCTTTGCGCCAATGGGGGTGCGGTTACGCAGTGACCCGGCCGCAGCTCGTTTTACCGCTTGGCCCAGAGGTTCACGGCTTATTAACCGGAATGGCCGCCGCGGTTGCGTGCGTTAACCCTGAACATCATAACAACAAACGGCGTCTGCTCGACTCGCAGAGGACCTGAAGGATCCCAGTGACGTCATTCGCAAGAGCAGCCGTTGTGTGCCAGCGTCACGGTAGCTCAGTTGGTACCACAGTCAAAGATCCCCGGCAAGCACCTCTGTAGGCCAGAATGGTACAGATCAGGGTGGGTGACCAGCATCGTGCCCGACCGCCTTTGTGTGTGAATGTGTGAGTCATCTCGGTCAGTCGACCCGTGGCACCTGGGTTTGCCCCGTGACCTCCTGCCAGCGGGCGTTCGACACTTCACGTGGCCTCAAGGTGCACATGGCCTGGCACAAGCATCGTGGTGACGTCACCGCCACTTAGTGGCGAATGGCGGTTGTTGTTGTTATACACAACTACACTTGCACACATTCACACGCGACAACAACCGCCGTTCACCACCAAGTGGTGGTGACGTCACCACCAAGTGGTGACGTCACCACGGCGCACAAGCGCCTCGTGAAGTGCTGAAGGTTCACTCCTGACAGGGGATGATGGGACAGACCGAGGTGCCATGGGTTATTTGACCTAAATGACTGGACGATGCACCACCTGTGCTCCCCACTGCGCCAACTTGCTGAGTTTTAGCCGCCCGCGCTCCGCTCACTGTGTCGCTCCACACTCTCACTGCAGAACAGGGAGAGACACAAACTCCACACAGGCATCCTAATCGGGAGCGGAATCAAAACCCGTTTGCGACCTCTGGACCTTCCCCACCCCCCCCCCCCCCCCCAAGGCTCGCTGGGGGACGTGAGCCGGCGCGTGAGGGACGTGACGACGGCCGAGTGGGCCCCCCTGTGCCGCCACCTCCAGCTCAACGTGGCCGCCCCCCTGCTCCTCGCAGCATTCGCACTACGCTGGTTCCAGGGCCTCGAGGAGGCTGAGGGGACCGGAGGGGATGAGGGTCCCTCAGGTGAAAGGATGTGAGGGGGTGAGGGGGTGTGTGTGTAGGGCAATATTTCCACGGTGATTAATGTGAGCTCTGTGTGAAGGGCGTGTTGCTACGGTGATTATTGTGAGCTGTGTGTGTGTATGTGTGTAGGATGCGTTGCCATGGTGATTAACGTGAGCTGTGTATGTATGTGTGTAGGACGTGTTGCCATGGTGATTAACGTGAGCTGTGTATGTATGTGTGTAGGACACGTTGCCATGGTGATTAACGTGAGCTGTGTATGTGTGTGTAGGACGCGTTGCCATGGTGATTAACGTGAGCTCTCTGTGCGCCATCACTCCGTACCCGAGCTGGGCTCCGTACTGCTCGTCACGCGCAGCCAGAGACATGCTGCACGTCGTCGTGGCAACCGAGGAGCCGCACGTGCGGGTCCTTAACTACGCTCCTGGTGCGGTCGCCCTGCTTACGACAGCATTCAACACTCAATCCAACAACAACAACAACCGCCATTCGCCACTAAGTGGCGGTGACGTCACCACGGCGCTTGTGCCAGGCCATGTGCACCTTGAGGCCACGTTAAGTGTCGAATGCTCGCTGGCAGGAGGTCACGGGACAGACCCAGGTGCCACGGGTCGACTGACCGAGATGACCGAGATGACTGGCTGATGCACCACCTGTGCCCCCTACTGTGCCAACTTGCTGTGCTACAGTCAGGTTTTGCCTTCGAATCCAGCGGCTGCCTTCGTTAATACTGCGTTGTGTATTAACCACACACATCGCATGCGCCGTTTGCTTTACTCACAGTGGCCATCGACATTTACACTGCGAAATACACAACTAGAATTATACACAAAGCAGCAACACCGCCTCCTACTGCGACAAACTTGGCAAGACCCTTCCTGGAGATAGTCACGAGACTGATTGAGGCTTTAAACACAAGGGGGCAACAGACACCACGATCTCCCCACCACGACACTCAATGGACTCACCATGATACCCGTGCTACTCAATCACCATACCACACGCACCACGATACTCACCATATCAGTCATCAAGTTGAGCCGTGCTTAACAGGACAGAGTTTGTGACGGCACCAAGGGAGCTATCACGCTTCTCATAACCCCTCACCTCCCCCCCCCCCGCACAGGTCCGATGGACACAGACATGCAGGCGGAGGCGTGCGTGCAGACGGGCGACGCGGGGCTCCGGGGGCGGCTGGAGAAGTCTCGTGCTGCAGGGACGCTGGTGGACCCCCGCGACTCGGCGCGTGCGCTGCTGCGCCTGCTGCGGGCAGACTCCTTCCGCAGCGGCGCACACGTGGACTACTACGACGTGCCGGGGCCACGGCGCGAGGGAGACGGAGCGGAGACGGCACGCCGCGGGAGAGAAGGAGGCACGCCGCAGGGACAGTGATGGCACAGAGACGGGACAGAGACGACACAGTGATGGCACAGAGACGACACAGATGACACACCACGGGAGAGATGTCGGCACAACGCACAGACAGTGACGGCACAGAGATGGAATCGCGGAGATGACACAGAGACGGCACACCACACAGAGGCAGCTGGTGGCAGTGATGACGAGAGAATCGCTACGACTGTGACTCGTAGCGATTGGGACTGCAAACACGTCACGCGCCGAACAGATGACGCTCCGACGCGGGCTACGTCACAAACTACGCCGGGGCAATCGTCCTCAACGCTAACGGTGTGGCCCGGCATCACAGCAGGACGAGACGGCATCACACAGAACGGACATCTTAATTACGAGGCCGGCTTAAAGCAAGAGTATACAGTAGGTGACGTTTCGGGCAATGGCCCTTCTTCATGGCACACGAATTAACACAACAGCAGGGTCCTGCATCCCAAACACTACTGACGTCATTGCCTCTTGCGAGGGTGCCGGAGGGCGCCGTGGCGTTATACTACACACAGGGTTCTCGGTGTCACTGCCTGAATTGCTGAAAGTCGCGGCTACTTGACCAGGCATCCAAAACACGACGTCATCACCAGCGAGACTTGGTTAATATTACCCACGAGAACCTGACTTCACGAGTCTGGCTCTGTGTGAGTCTGTGCCTCTCTGTGTGAGTCTGTGGCTTTCTCTGTGTGAGTCTGTGGCTTTCTCTGTGTGAGTCTGTGGCTCTCTGTGCGAGTCTGTGCCTCTCTGTGCGAGTCTGTGTCTCTGTGTAAGTCTGTGGCTTTCTCTGTGTGAGTCCGTGGCTTTCTCTGTATGAGTCTGTGCCTCTCCGTGTGAGTCTGTGGCTTTCTCTGTGTGAGTCTGCCTTTCTCTGTGTGAGTCTGCCTTTCTCTGTGTGAGTCTGTGCCTTTCTCTGTGCGAGTCTGTGGCTCTCTGTGCGAGTCTGTGCCTCTCTGTGCGAGTCTGTGTCTCTGTGTAAGTCTGTGGCTTTCTCTGTGTGAGTCCGTGGCTTTCTCTGTGTGAGTCTGTGCCTCTCCGTGTGAGTCTGTGGCTTTCTCTGTGTGAGTCTGCCTTTCTCTGTGTGAGTCTGCCTTTCTCTGTGTGAGTCTGTGCCTTTCTCTGTGTGAGTCTGTGCCTCTCTGTGTGAGACCGTGGCTCTCTGTGAGTCTGTGGGTTCTGTGTTAATCTATGGGACTCTGTATGTCTCTGTGGCTCCCTGTGTCAGTGTGAGTCGGTGAGTCTTTGTGCGAGTCTGTGGGTCTCTGTGAGTCTATGATGATTGAGATTTTGGCTTCATCTGGGAACAAGCCGGAGATTCCCCATTGTATACGAGGCGAAATCAACTGCCAATGCACCGTCTTGCTGTACTGCCATCGTCTGGCCTTAATCTGGTAGTGCAATAGGGATTTATCCGCCAAAACTTTCCTTTTTTGCGGCGGTTCATGATCGCTTTAATGTATTGATTGCTAAACCTCGCCCTTCCAGGGGTGATCCATGATCGCTTTAATGTATTGATTGATTGTCGGTAATTTAATTGCTAGCTGTAGCTAATGATCCGCGTTCGATTTGTAATCAATAAACATGATTGAAATGTCCTGTGTGCGAGAACGAGTGAGTGGTGAGGGAGACTGATGAGTGTATTCCATGTGTGTGAATCGGGTGAGTGTATTCCAGGTGTGTGAATCGGGTGAGTGTATTCCAGTTGTGTGAATCAGATGAGTGTACCCCAAGTCAGAGGTTGTTATTTTGATTATTTTGCTCCTAAACATTTCCACAAGATAAGCCGCCACTTTGTTGAGCTGTCATTTGTGGGCAGGTCGCAATTGAAAAATAAGTTAATAAGCTCAGTGGGATGTATCTGGTACAAGAAAAAAATAACTTTAATTTTCTTTGTTTATTTTTTTTACGTGAAATTAGTTTTCACCTTTCCTATACTTTTCATGCCTATCGTGCTTTTGCATTGTTTCTTGTTGTAACGTCCCGGAGACCCCCGTACCCATCTGTGAGATGGAGAAAAATAGAAGAGCTTCATATATCATCGACAGTACATTAAAAATAAACGCCAGTAACAGGACTCCGATTTACACTATTGGAACCTCATTTGCCAGAAGAAAAAATATTTTTTTTTACCCTTTCATGTCAACAAAACTGACACCTTTTTTTACAAGGAGTCATGTTTGCATAGACCACAATACCTGCAGTCGTAATACAAACAAAAAACACAACTGATAATCAAGCACAGTGCATACATTATTAGAGTTGTGTTTTTTGTTTGTATTACGACTGCAGGTATTGTGGTCTATGCAAACATGACTCTCGATTTAAAGCTTTTGTGACTGCAGGGATTCATCTTCTTCTTGGTTCTTTCGGTAAAGTCACGTAGAATGGAAATAATATAATAAAAATAAAACGTAATAAAATAGACAGACTCTGTCTTATCTCTGTCGTTTCGACAGCCCTGTTCTTCACCTGAGGACGGCTGCTTGCGTTGTGGCCGGAACGTCGTGAGAATTATTTTATTATGTTTTATTTTTATTATTTTTATTATTTTATTATTTCCATTCTACGTGACTTTACCGAAAGAACCAAGAAGACAAACATGACTCCTTGTAAAAAAAAAAAGGTGTCAGTTTTGTTGTCAGATAAAAAGGTAAAAAAACAATTACCAGGACTCCGATTGTGTTAAACCCCCACCACCCACCACGTGGGCGGAAGTGGCGACCACGTGGCGCGTGACGGGAGGAGGGGGGTGCAGTCAGCGCTGGCACTGCATGCTGGGAGTGAAGCACTTCCGCTTCCGCCAGCCACGAGCATCATGATGAAGATGGAGTCGCGGTGCAGCTGCAGCAGCAGGAGCGGACAGCGAATGGGGGCGATCGTGAGATGCCTCCTCTTCGCCGCCTCCGTGGCGCTCGCCTCGGGTGAGGCTGTGGAGGGAGAACGGACGAGGAGGAATGTTGATGAGGCAGGAGATGGAGGGGGAAGTGGGAGCCCGTCCCCCCCCCCCCTCGGGGTGCAGAGTGGTGACGTGGCCAAGTCGGAGTCGTGGGGAGCCAGAGTCTGGCTCTGGGTCACGGGTCCCAGGTCACGGCCTCTGGGTCACGGGTCCCAGGTCACGGCCTCTGGGTCACGTGTCCCAGGTCACGGCCTCTGGGTCACGGGCCCCAGGTTCGGGCTGTAGGATCTGGACCCAGACCCGGGGTTTCTAGGTCCCGGGCCCCCAGGTTCGGGCTCTGGGCGAGGTAACGCGGCGCTCAGGGGCATCACTTGCGTAGTGGTAGCAGCAGCAGTAGCAGCAGCAGTAGCAGCAGAAGTAGCAGTAGTAGCAGCAGCGGCAGTAGCAGCGGCAGTAGCAGCGGCAGCAGTAGCGGCAGCAGCAGCAGCAGCAGCAGCAGCAGCAGCTGTAGGAGCAGCAGCAGCAGCAGTAGTAGCAGCAGTAGCAGCAGCAGCAGTAGTAGCAGCAGCAGTAGTAGCAGCAGCAGCAGTAGTAGCAGCAGTAGCAGCAGCAGCAGTAGTAGCAGCAGTAGCAGCAGCAGCAGTAGGAGCAGCAGCAGTAGCAGCAGCAGCAGCAGCTGTGTTGGTGTTGTGTGTCGGTGTCGAACAGAGATAGGGGACCTCGCCTACGAACGCCTGGCTGTGTCGCCAGCATTGGTTCAATCAGCGCGACTGACTGCTGCTGCTGCTGATGAGACACTTAATGTCGAAACCGCTCCCGAGTTGTGCTTGTGTTGATCAACCAACGCTGTTGCTGCTGAGATGATGCCTTCCCAGATGGCCGTGTATGTGTGGGGCTGACGGGATGTGTGAAACAAATACTTATGTTTTATACGTGGAGAGAGAGAGATGTGGGATTTATCTGCTTGGTTATTCTGCTTTAGAGTAGGCCGTGACCAGCTTGGTGACGTATGGTCAGAGAACCCCCCCCCCCACGACCGACACATCGTGGGGATGTCTTCATCCTGCAGTGGATTGTCGCAGCTGTGAATCATTGACCCAACCTTACGCGAACACCGCGTTTTAATTCGCACACATTCACAACAAATGCACAGTGTGGGTTTAACTCAAGAGAGGGAATCATAGGTCTATTGTGTGCATGTCTACGACCATACGGGTCTCAGTGAGCCCTCCACATGAGCCTGTGTGTGTGTGTCCATCTGCGTATCTATGCGAACCTGTCTCTCTGACTCTTTGTGTCTCTGTCAAGCTGTGGGTCTCTCTCTGTGGGTGTATGGGTCTTCAGAGGTACTCGCTAACAGCACTTGCTCCTACACATCATCGCGGCTTTTGGCTGGCCATCGAACAAAGACGGTCACCGCATCGCGCGCTTTTCGATGCGCTTCTGCGGTCGTCTGGAACGCTCTTCCAATAAGAGGAAGCCACTGCACCTTATGCACTTGTAAATACAGGCAGTCCTCTACTTGCGATGGAGATGCGTTACGACGACCCCATCATCGTAAGTCGAAAATATCGTAAGTCGAAGATGGCCTAGCCTGCCCATGAGTCTTAAAGAATGGTGATAATTTAGCAAAACAGAGCAATTTACAGTAGCGTACTGTATAAACTATATACTGTATATTAATTACAATACTGTATTGCACAGTAAAATGTAAAGTACAAAAAATCAAGGTAAATTCTTAGCCTACCTATATGAACTGCAATTTAATAGAAAGTTTTTTTCAGGAAACAATCCAATTTGCCATAAAAAAAACTTAACATGCATTGAACGTATCGTATCGTGGTAACCCTAAAATGAAATCGCTAAAGCTACGTATCATACATGCATTGAACGTATCGTAACGTATCATATTGTACTGTACTCACCAAGATTCTGTCCGTCGTCTGCATACTTGAACGATGTTAGGTTGTTGATGGCAATTTTGTCATATCGCTATCGCCATCGTAAGATCGAAATATCGTAAGTCGGACCATCGTTACTCGGGGACTACCGGTAATCTAGATTGAAAACTCATTTATTTGGAACTGCTGTTGGTTTATCCAAGATTTGAAGCTTTCGTGACTGCAAGGATTCATACTCTTAGGTTTTATCGGTAAAGTCACGTAGGTAAAAGAATAAAATTAATATTAATATTGCTGTATCAAGTAAAGTTAACTTAACTTGATACAGCAGTCGTGCTGTGACTGTTCCACCTGAAGACGGAAGCTTGTGTTGCCTCCGAAACGTTGTGATTTTTTATTTAACTTTTATTAATTTTATTTTTTTACCTACGTGACTTTACCGAAAAAACCTCAGAGTATGTTGGTTTATCGTTTGTTATCCTTCCCTCGCCGCACCGATTGGCACGATTGGCTACATACACTGTGAAAGAAGTTCAACGTACACTAGAGGTCGCAAACGGGTTTTGATTCCTTACCCGTACCCGGCCGCACCAGGGTCGCAATTGGGTAACCGTACCCATACCCTACCAGATACCCGGCTACCCGTACCCAGCCGGGTATCGGGTAGGGTACGGGTATCGGGTACCCGATTGCGACCTCTGGGATGAAGCCATGTTGCAGGCGCGGGTGGGTTGATTCTAGGAACTTGAATTGTGAGAAGAGACAAGACGTTGGGAAATGAGTGACAAACGGTGACTCACCAGTGACTCACGCCTACCCGTACCCGGCCGCACCAGGTATTGGGTAGGGTACGGGTATCGGGTACCCGGTTGCGACCTCTGACGTACACTCGTACAATGGCAGGCTGCTCTCCTCGTGGTGCCGCCACTCTGCGTGACCCCCACACTGACCGTGCCCCCCCCCCCCCCCCCACGATTCTGCCTCTGTGTAGGGGAGCTGTGTGCGGACCCCGCGGTGGTCTCGTCCTCGTACAGCACGAGCGACGGCGTGCTGGCCACGGACACCGTGTTCATCGTCGAGGTCTCGCTGTACTGCGGCAGCGAGGCCCAGAACGTGGCGCTGTACGCCGACGTGGACGGGAAGCAGTTCCCCGTCACCAAGGGCCAGGACGTGGGCCGCTACCAGGTGAGCTGGCCGGAGGGCAGAGGTCGCAACCCAATACCCGTACCCTACCCGATACCCGGCTACCCGGCCGGGTACAGGTACCCATTTGCGACTCTGGTGCGGCCGGGTACGGGTAAGGAATCAAAACCCGTTTGCGACCTCTGCCGGAGGGCCACAGTGGCCGCCCAGCGCCGCTGGACTCCGGTGGGAAGACCGTCCCGGGGGACGAGGTCACGTGACGCCATCTAGCCCGGCCCTCGGTGCTCACCCGAAGTGGTCAGACAGAGGCAGACGCCTCGTCTTTGTAAATAACGCCACCCGGCTACGGGTAAATGAGCGGCTGTTTTAGCTGCATCCGTGTGTCTTGGTCCGTCCGTGTCCATCTGTTTGTCTGTGCGTGGTGTGTAACGTGGGGTCATGATGTCTCTCGTACGGACGATCTGAGCGACGCGGATCACATCTGGCAGTGCTGCTGCTACCGGCCTAGAGGATACTGGGGCAGATCATATCCTCGGCATCGGTCGCGGCGATTCCGAACAAAAACGAGAGCTAAAAGTCCGCGCCACTGTGTCCCCTCCCCCCGCCATCCCACCCCCCAGGTGTCGTGGAGCGAGCCTCACCGCACGGCACGCAGCGGCACACACGCGGTGCGCTTCTACGACGAGGAGGCCTACAGCGCCCTGCGCAAGGTGTGACGCCCCGTGCCGCCACACATTGCCACGCATTACCGTACACCGCCATGGTACAGCATCATAGCGTCGTACACCATCATAGCGTCGTACACCATCATAGCGTCATACACCATCATAGCGTCGTACACCATCATAGCGTCATACACCATCATAGCGTCATACACCATCATAGCGTCGTACACCATCATAGCGTCATACACCATCATAGCGTCGTACACCATCATAGCGTCGTACACCATCATAGCGTCGTACACCATCATAGCGTCATACACCATCATAGCGTCGTACACCATCATAGCGTCATACACCATCATAGCGTCGTACACCATCATAGCGTCATACACCATCATAGCGTCATACACCATCATAGCGTCATACACCATCATAGCCTCATACACCATAGCAGTGAACACTGTCATAGCGTCGTACACCATCATAGCGTCATACATCATCATAGCGTCATACACCATCATAGCGTCGTACACCATCATAGCGTCATACACCGTCATAGCAGTGAGCACTGTCATAGTGCAATACACCATCATACACCATCATAGCGTCATACACCGTCATAGCGCAATACACCATCATACAACATCATTGCGGAGAGCAACGTCAATCGCGGCTACACTGTCACTCATTGCACTAAGTGGTGGTGATAGTGGTTATGGTGATTGATGTTGGTGGTGCTGATGTTGATGGTGCTGGTGGTGTTGACGTTTGTAGGCGCAGAGGAACAAGGAGGATGTGTCTGACATCAGCCCGCTCTTCGTCGTAGCAGTGGAACACAGGGTGAGTGCAGACGTGTACATACACACGCCTACACACACACCTACACTCACACACTCACACGCCTACACACTCGCACACGCCTACACACTCACATGCCTACACACTCACACGCCTACACACTCACACACGCCTACACACACATGCCTACACACTCACACGCCTACACACTCACACACACACGCCTACACACTCACACGCCAACACACTCGCACAAGCCTACAGTCACACACACGCCTACACACTCACACCTACACACACACTCTTACACAAATACAAAGATCCCCCGTATAGCCTTCACATACTGTTGCGGCAAGTGCTGTTAACGAGTAGCACCTATGAAGGCCGGAAAGGTATACCAGGGGGTGGGAGGCCAGCACCACGCCCTACCGCCTTTGTCTCCCTAGTGGCGATGTTTGCACACTGCACCAGGTACTAATTTGAGGCTGAGTCGACCTAGGGGAGGCCCAGGATCGGTTCAAATAATCGTCACTGGTGTTGGCCGTAAGCGGGAATCGAACTCGGGTTGCCGGTTTCGTAGCGCAGCGCGCTAACCGCTACACCGCCGCTCCCCACCAGACAAAGACCCCCGTATAGCCATAACTGACTGTTCAGATTATAATGAATCTGTTCAGATAATCATCGCCGCTGTTGGGAAGGCGAGGTGCGCCTTCAGGCCACGTGGTGTGTGTGCTTGGCTCACTGGCAGGAGGTCAGAGATATAGACCCAGGTGCCATGGGTGGACTGACTGAGGTGACAGGCAGAGGGCACCACCTGTGCTCCCCACTGCGGTTTAGCCGCCCCGGTGCTCCGCTCGTTGTTGCATCGCTCCTCTGTCGCGCCACTGCTCCTCGTACAAACACATGTGTAAAAACATGTATGCACACATATATAGAGCACGTAACGGTGTGATGTGTTTATTGCTACGTAACGGTGTATGTGTGTATTACCATGTATCAGTGTGCTGTGTGTATGGCTATGTCACGGTGTGGTGTGTGTATTTCCATGGAATAGTGTGGTGTGTGTATTGCTATGTATCGGTGTGCTGTGTAACGGTGTGTGCTGTGTGTATGGCTGTGTAACGGTGTGTGCTGTGTGTATGGCTGTGTAACGGTGTGTGCTGTGTGTATGGCTGTGTAACGGTGTGTGCTGTGTCTATGGCTGTGTAACGGTGTGTGCTGTGTGTATGGCTGTGTAACGGTGTGTGCTGTTTGTATGGCTGTGTAACGGTGTGTGCTGTGTGTATGGCTGTGCAACGGTGTGTGCTGTGTCTATGGCTGTGTAACGGTGTGTGCTGTGTGTATGGCTGTGTAACGGTGTGCTGTGTGTATTGCCATGTAACGGCGTGGTGTGTGTATTGCTATGTAACGGCGTGTCGTGGTGTGCTGTGTGTATGGTGTGGTGTTATGGTGTGGTGTGTGTATGGCTGTGTAACGGTGTGTGGTGTCTGTATGGCTGTGTAACGGTGTGGCGTGGTGCGCTGTGTGTATGGCTATGTAACGGTGTGTGGTGTCTGTATGGCTATGTAATGGTGTGTGGTGTCTGTATGGCTATGTAACGGTGTGTGCTGTGTGTATTGCCATGTAACGGTGTGCTGTGTGTATGGCTGTGTAACGGTGTGGTGTGTGTGTGGCTGTGTGACGGTGTGCTGTGTGTATGGCTATGTAACAGTGTGGTGTGTGTATTGCCATGTAACGGTGTGGTGTGTGTATTGCTATGTATCAGTGTGGTGTATGTATTGCTATGTAACAGTGTGTGCTGTGTGTATGGCTGTGTAACGGTGTGTGCTGTGTGTATGGCTGTGTAACGGTGTGGTGTGTGTGTGTGGCTGTGTAACGGTGTGCTGTGTGTATGGCTATGTAACGGTGTGGTGTGCTGTGTGTATTGCCATGTAACGGTGTGGTGTGTGTATTGCTATGTAACGGCGTGGTGTGCTGTTTGTATGGCTGTGTAGCGGTGTGGCTTGGTGTGCTGTGTGTATTACCATGTATCAGTGTGGTGTGTGTGGCTATGTAATGGTGTGTGCTGTGTGTATTACCATGTAACGGCGTGGTGTGTGTATGGCTATGTAACGGTGTGGCTTGGTGTGTGTATGGTGTGCTGTGTGTATGGCTGTGTAACGGTGTGTGCTGTGTGTATTACCATGTATCAGTGTGCTGTGTGTATTGCTATGTAACGGTGTGGCTTGGTGTGTATGGCTGTGTAACGGCGTGGTGTGCTGTGTGTATGGCTGTGTAACGGTGTGGCTTGGTGTGTGTATGGTGTGCTGTGTGTATGGCTATGTAACGGTGTGTGGTGTGTGTATGGCTGTGTAACGGTGTGTCTTGGTGTGCGGTGCGGCAGGGCGTGTGGGGCGGGCCGCTCGTGGCCACGGAGGTGGTGGCGGCGCTGGTCGGCGTCGGCCTCTACGCGTTTGCCTACCGGGCCAAGGGCCTCATCCAGAGCTAGCGCTCGCCTCGCTCACCGGCACCAGTTCGCCTCGCCACTCGCACCGCACGCGCACACACGGTCACACCACACCCACCCACCCACCCACGCGCCCGCCGTCCGTCCGTCCCTCGTGTGAACTCGGAGATGTTTGAATAAAACCAGCGGTGGCCAAATCTCGCAGCGTCCCTCGTGATGTTTGCGTTGTCGAGGGTGAACGCACGTCGATCGGTGCACGGACATCGCAGCACCAACATCACAGAAGCAATCTTAATTTTGGAGCTTTCGTGACTGCAGGAATTATTCTTTGGTTCTTTCGGTAAAGTCACGTATAAAGATAACATAATAAATTAAATAATAGCATACTACGACGTTTCGATTGCAACACAAGCAATCATATATGCTTATATGTCTGTCTATAGTTTTCTAGTTAGATTTTTGTTGCTATTTCTTTTATACCTGATGATGATTGCTTGTGTTGCAATCGAAACGTCGTAGTATGCTATTATTTAATTTATTATGTTATCTTTATACGTGACTTTACCGAAAGAACCGAAGAATAATCACAGAAGCAGCGCGTGGGTTCGACTCCCGACCCGGACGTCGCTTCTCTGTGTGGAGTTTGTGTTTCTCCCTCTGCCGCATTGGTGTCCTCCGGTTTCCTCCTTCCAGAGCTAAAGCCCCACACCCAGTGGAACTGGTATTGGGGCTAGGCCACATCCACAATGCCGATGACGTTCACTGAAAATCTCTCAACTGGGATCGCAAAGCAGCAGCATCACGCCCTAGTGGTGCGACAAGCTTGGCAGGACCCTCCTGAGCACGAGTCTTGAGACTCAAACTAAACAGACGGTGAGGACCCTGACCCACGGTGAGTCTCGGAGTGTCTCGCCGTCTTGTGTATGTCCACGCCCTGCACAAGTGAAAGTGGCTCTGTCGCTTGATTAAAAGTGTGCGTCTATATATCTGTCTCTGAGTTTCCATAACTGCTCACAGATGTGAATTCCTGAACAGCAGGGACGTGGGGGGAGAGGGGTGGGGGTAATGGCAGCCACGTGCAGGACTCCCACCTCCTGTACCCCCCCCAGACCCCTCCCCCCCAAACCCCTCCCCTCCTCCCCTGAAGAGCAACGAGTCGAGATTGAGTTCGAAGTGATTGAGCTGTCCAGTTGCTTTGTGAGTTGGTGATTTGCAGGTACTGTACACCCACCCATTCACTCCCCCACACCCACTCACCCATTCACACCCCACATTCACCCATTCACACCCCCACACTCAACAGCCCACTCACCCGCCCACCCCCACCCACTCACCCATTCACTCCCCCACTCACCCCTCCACTCACCCCTCCACTCATCACCAAGTCACCTACTCACCCATCCACGTCTTCACCTGTGTGTGTAGCAGTGCCAGGTTCTATGGCCGTGGTGTTCATAGCCGCAGTTGCCCACAGGAGGAATCTCCGAGTCTCCTCCACTCGTGCACCTGGTGTCCTCGCTGATGAGCTGTGTGGAGTGGAAGCCGGTAATGTGGTGGTGGAGGGCTCGCTGATGAGATGTGTGGAGTGGAAGCCAGTAGTGTGGTGGTGGAGGGCTCGCTGATGAGATGTGTGGAGTGGAAGCCGGTAATGTGGTGGTGGAGGGCTCGCTGATGAGATGTGTGGAGTGGAAGCCAGTAGTGTGGTGGTGGAGGGCTCGCTGATGAGATGTGTGGAGTGGAAGCCGGTAGTGTGGTGGTGGTGGTGGTGGAGGGCTCGCTGATGAGCTGTGTGGAGTGGAAGCTTGAGGCGATGGACTTTCCTGCTTAAACACATTCCTCCTGCGGAGGGAGCTGGTAGGAACGTTGGGTTGCTCGGTCAATGGCCAGGGTCAACGGCGGCGTGGTGTATTCCGCAAATATGCCCGATTGTGAGGGCGGGCACAAGCCGGCGTGAGTAGGTTAAACGTTGAGTTGTATAAGGGCACCACGGGGTAACCAGCCACTCCCCACCCAGCCCCACCCCCCACCCAGCCCCTCCCTGGACGACGGACGGACGGACACAATAATCCCCTGTGGGCTGGTGTAACCAGGAGGTTCCTACCAGTAAAACTCTGTTTAGCTTTGGTGTCTGTGGGGAGCCAGTGTCCCTCCAGCGAGTCCCACCCCTTGACCAGGGCGAGGAGGAGGTGATGATGAGGAGGAGGTGAGGAGGTGATGATGATGAGGAGGCTGTGTGCTTGAGTAGCCACATCGCTCCTCCACACAAACCAACCCCCTCCCCTCAACCTCCTCCCCTGCACCAGAGCCCCTCCCCTACCCCACCCCGGCTCCCCCCCCACCCACATCCCACCAAACCCCTCCCCCCCGCACCAGAGCCCCTCCCCTCCCCACCCGCCTTTGTTCTGCGTGCGGTGTGCGAGCCACAGAGAGGGGTCGCGTTTTGTGCGGTGAGTGAGTGTGAGGAGCGGTGGCGCAGCGGTTAGCGCTCCGCTACGAGTTCACTTCACCGCTGGGCATCCCCAGTGCTGGAGAGACAAAGGCGGTCGGGCGTGCTTCTGGCTGCATAGTGTTGTTGTTGCATCACTTTTTGGGTTGTTGTGGCAGGTTTGTGCCAGGCTAGGTTCACCACGACCGCCAATATGGGGCCAATCTTCTTGCTGCTCCTGATGGTGGCAGCTCCAGGTAAGTCCCATGTGACTCGCTCACCCGTGCTCACCCACGACTCACCCACGACTCACCCACGACTCACCCACGACTCTTTAACCAGTGACTCACTCACCTGTGACGCTCTCACTCACCCGTGTTCCACCCACCCACGACCCTCTTAACTCGCGCTCCCGTCACGAGACCGTGACCGACTCACCCGTGGCTGCTGTCCGTCGTGTAGATGGAGAAGCTGGGAGAATCAGCAAGAGAGCTGGAGATGAGGTTCAGCAAGAAGGTGACCCATTTACTCACCCACTCATTCACCCACACACTCACCCACTCACCCACTCATTCACCCACTCACCCACCCACTCACCCACCCACTCACCCACTCACTCACCCACTCACTCACCCACTCACTCACCCACTCACCCACTCACTCACCAACTCACTCACCCACTGACCCACTCACTCACCCACTCACTCACCCACACACTCACCCACTCACTCACCCACTCACTCACCCACTCACTCACGCCCGGTCTCACCAGTGGCGATGTTTACGCACCAGGTACTCATTTGAGGCTGAGTCGACCTAGGGGAGGGGCCCAGGACCGGTTCAGATAATCGTCACTGGTGTGACCGTGAGCGGGAATCGAACACGGGTCGCCGGGATCGTATCGCAGTGCACGAACACACATTCACACATCACTCCATCTCTTCTCCAGCCCGTTCTATGCCCGTTCAGCCCCCTCTATCCGGCCAAACAGAAGCTGTTTGGCCATGCGGTGGCTGGGTCATGTGGCCCACATGACCCAGCCAATGCAGCCTCGCCTGCCGGAGGAACTCTCCGATGGGACTGTGTCCAGGTCTCTGGAGGATTTGTGAGCTCCTCACACAACCCAGTCTGGTTAAGGCCAGGACGGATCATCGACAGTGTCAGCCTGAATGTTTCCTTCATGGGAGTCCACGTTTTTGCAGTTATAGAGAAGGGAGGGCACAACTGTGGCTGACAAGACCTCGAGCGAGAGGCCAGGTAGCTTCCACACAGCGAGACGCAGCTGACGAAAAAGGTGATGCCACTCGACTGATTTTGGAGTGAGATCTCTGAGGCCAAACCCCGGGTACAGAGACTCCTCCCCTCTCCCATGCAGGTCACTCTTGCAAATGAGACTTCTACCCACGTCTCTCCAGTTCTCAGCTGGTCACACAAAATCTACTTGCCTATCAACACATTAACTCGCCTCCATCTCTACCCCCTCGCCCCCCCTCCTTCTATCCACCTCTCGTCTCTGTCTCATCACTCCCCCCCCTCCCTCCCCTTTCCACCTTCATTTCCCTATCCTCTCCTTACCTTTCGATTTAAAGCTTTCGTGACTGCAGGGATTCATCTTCTTGGTTCTTTCGGTAAAGTCACGTAGAAGGGAAATAATAAAATAATAAAAATAAAACATAATAAAATAATTCTCACCACGTTGCGTTGTGGCCGAAACGTCGTGGGGGGAAGAACCAAGAAGACTCTCCTTACCTCTTCCCCCTCTCGCCTCTCTCCCCCTCTCCTCTACTTTCCTCCCCCCCCTCTACCCCCTCTCCCCCTCTGTCTCATCTCTCTCCGCCCCCCACCCTCTCCACCATCACTCTGTCCTCATTTCCTTTCCCTCCCGTTCTCTCCCCCCCCCTCACTCTCTCACTCTCTCCTCTCCTCCCCCCTTCTCCTCCTCTCCGTCTCATTCCTTTCCCTCTCTCCCTCTCTTTTTTTACGATCATTGGAAACAAGAAGATTATCGGTGTAGTCGGCACTTTGCTTCGTTCATCATTCAAATTTTTTTAAAAAAAACTTTGCTTTATGTAAACCCCCACCCTCGCTCACTCTCTCGGTCACTCCCTCGCTCACTCTCTCGGTTACTCTCTCGCTTTGTCACTCTCTCGCTCACTCTGTCGCTCACTCTCTCGGTCACTCTCTCGCTCTCTCTCTCGGTCACTCCCTCGCTCTCTCGCTCACTCTCTCGCTCTCTCGCCCACTCTCTCGCTCGCACTCTCGCTCACTCTCTCGCTCGCTCTCTCGCTCTCTCTCCGGTCACTCTCTCTCTCTCACTCTCTCGCTCTCTCTCCCTCTCCCCTCCCTCCCCGCAGTCTCCGTGGGCTCCCGGGCCGCCCACGCCTTCCTGCGGACCCGCCGCCAGGCCTGGGACCCCCAGGACCCCACGTTCTGGCGCCCTGCAACCAGCACTTCCTGCCACTGGGCCACTACGAGGCGGTGAGCGCCCCCCCCGCTGCCGCGGGCCCTCTTTATTCACCACGTGCTCCCCCGTGATCCTATTGCCCCCGTTGACCCCCCCTCGTTGGGCCCCCTGATCCCTGTGGTCTCCATTGACCCACGTGGCCCACCTTGACCCCGCTGTCCCCCTTGACCCCGTAGTTCCTCCCCTTGATCCCCACGGTCCTCCTTGACCCGCCACAGTCCTCCGTGACCCCCGGCAACCCCCCTTGGCCACCACTGCCCCCCTCGATCCCCCCCCCCTCCCCTCGGCGTGCAGGTGTGTTGAGATGGACGCGGCGTTCTGGGCTCTGCACGCCGCGCGACCCCGAGGCCTCTCGCCGCCACTACCTCGACCGGCCCGACCCCGTCCTCGACCGCGACCCCGAGGCCGACCCGCGACCCCGAGCCTCCGGGTCGCGACGACCCCGACCCTGACCCCGGCGAGTCCGAGCACGACCCCGGCAACCGGGAACCGGGGTTCGAGTACCAGGGCAGGGGGGGCGCCCCCCAGCGGGGAGCCCGGCGCCACGAGGGGGAGGAGGACGAGGAGGAGGAGGAGAGAGGTCAGGGCAGGGCCCCCCAGCGGTTCCACCACGGGGACTACGGCGACTACTGAGCCCGGGGTCTCCACACAGGGGTCCCGGGGTCCACACCACAGGGGTCCCGGGGGTAACACCACAGGGGTCCCGGGGTCAACGCCACTCACACCGAGGTCCTCCCAGCCCCCCTTTGCAGGATTCACTTTGAATCCACAAGCCCCCCCCCTCCATGCCTCCCGGAGTCTCTCATAGTCTCCAGGGCCCCCCATCAGTGTGCACGGTTCCCAGCTTAACTCTTAGGGGTCCCCCCCCCCCCATTTCATTCCCAGGAGGGGGTCCGCGATCGACCCCCCGAGATGACTCTGAGATCCTCTACCTTAGCTAGCGGAGTTCCGTTTAACCGCCACGAGGAGGGGTCTTAATTCCCTTGCTCCCCCCTCCCCCTTTTCATTTTCAGGGATCCCAGTTAGAACCCCCGCTTCTCACCCACCCCAATGTTTACCCCCCTTTATCCCCGGGGTCCCTAAGTCCGACAGCAGCTGTCAGTTGCAGGGACGGGAAGAATCCAAGCGGCGTGTGCGCTAGGCACGGACGACAAGCTGCAAGTTACACGCTGATCCAGTGCCGGATGAAGCGCGTGCGGGTCCTGTAGCATCTGTTATGAGGGGCCCTAATAAATAAATAAAACACGTAAATATGAAAAAAACACATTTTTATACTTGCATAGTAAAGTAATTGTATTTTTCCATTTGCTATACAGCCAGATAATAACGATAATATCGCTAACCTTAAACACCCAGTCGTTCATAAAAGTTGAAGGCGGTATAGTACTATAGTAATAGAGCAAGTGCAGAATCACTGAATCGGAATTGGTAGCTTGAAAGCATTTAACGCGGGGGCCCTTGAAAGTGCGGGGCCCGTAGCTACACGTGTAGCTACTACACGTGTAGTTACTACACATGTAGCTACTACACATGTAGCTATTACACGTGTAGCTACTACACGTGTAGTAGCTACTACACATGTAGTTACTACACATGTGTAGTAGCTACTACACGTGCAGCTACTACACACGTGCAGCTACTACACGTGTAGCTACTACACGTGTAGCTACTACACGTGCAGCTACTACACGTGTAGCTACTACACATGTAGCTACTACTCTTTGGTTCTTTCGGTAAAGTCACGGAGATAGAAAACAATGGATCACGACGTTTCGATCGCAACGCACGCATCGTCGTCAGGTGGGACAACCACAGCAAGTAGACACTGCTGAGTAGCTGTGGTTGTCCCACGTGATG